TGCTTGACCCCAGGAGGCGGAAATGGCAGAGCCAAGATTGCACCACTGCACTCCAGCCCAAGCAAGACTCCGTCTCAAAAAAAAAAAAAAAAAAAAAAAAAAAAATTATTATTTCAAATCAAGGAAAACAAAGCTAATTCCTTATATTTTGAGGAATTCTTCCATACAACTCTATCACAAAGCTACTCATTAAAACTGTTTTAAAGTAATGTTTATATAATATCAAATAACTGCTGATAAGATCACTTTATATCAAACCACCAATAAACTTAGCTTCATCATAGCCAAATTTTCTATAGTCAAACAATGATATATTTTTGTATTTGGTAAGTGACAGTCAGCTCTTAAGGAATTCCACTTGAAATGGTAATTAAAAATCTAGTCAATTCCATTTGTATTTTGCTGTTGCAGGGTTCCATTCTCTCACAGCAAAAAAAAAAAGAAAAAAAAAATGAGTCCTAGCTTGCTTTTGGCACTAAATAGCTGTAAGCAACTGATCCTAATGGTTTTAAGTTTGAGCATTTGGCAGGACTAGTTGATAGTCTGATACTTTCCCTCCCAGTTTTTCCCCTCTGTGACCTAGATTTTTTTTTAACCTTCTATTTCTCTTTTATAAAAATCTACATTTTATCAAACCTTTCCAGATCTATTCTAGCCATTGAATAAATTCATACCTGAAAAGACGCAATGAGTTTTTGAAGGTTTTCTTTGCCAACACTGTAGCAACATTGTATCTGTGAAGCTATTAGCAACAACACTGCAAATATAAATTCAGATACATGTTGTCTCTGACCTACAGATGGCTACTTTACTTTCAACACATATATATAAAGACAGAGGTTGCAGTCACTGCCACAGGCTTGTCTCCACTCTTCCTACCTTCACATCTGAGATCCAGGGACTATGGCCATGAAAACCATTACAGAAAAAAACCAGAAATTTCTGAATTTTAGCAAATGAAAAGCAAGCATATGGAGCCACATAGGACAGGTGGCTACAGTAGGCAGATCAGGACAATAGGGAAAGAAAGGAAACATGGATATGGGATAGAAATATGGAGAGAAGGTAGAATATTAAAAAATTATTCTACAGTGGGAGCAGTGGCTTATTGCCAGTAATCCCAGCCCTTTGGGAGGCTAAGGCAGGTGGATCACCTGAGCTCAGGAGTTTAAGATCAGCCTGGGAAACAAGGCAAAACCATGTCTATACCAAAAAAAAAAAAAAAAAAAAAAAAAAAATTAGCTTGGCATGCTGGCCTGTGCCTGTAGTCTCAGCTACTCGGGAGGCTGAGTTGGGAGGAATGAGGCTTCAGTGAGCCATGATCACGCAACTGTACTACAGGCTGGGCAACAGAGCAAAACTGTATCTCAAAAACAAACAAAAAAACCCAAAAGTTATTCTATCCACCTGAAATTTTTATATGCAGGCAGGCCTATGCCCAAAAGGATGAGCAGCAAATGTCCTTTTCTTACCACAGTACAAGTAACAAAAAGAAAAAAGTAGGAAATTAAAATTATTGCTGGCTAGCCTAGAAACCCAGCCACCAATCTCAATAGTTTTTATGAGAAAACTACAAGATTACATGTTTCAAATGCATTCAGCCAACATATGAAGGATGTGAATGAGGTAGACATGATCCCAACTCCTATGTCAAGTGGGAAAATAAATTAAAACTATAAACAAGCAAATAAAATTATATACTGTGATAGGCACAATGAGGAAAATAAAGTGCTGAGCTAGAAAACAGCTGGGGGTACACATTTTAAATAGGGTGAAGTCTTCAAGAAGTAGCTTTTATACCAAGCTCAGAGGTAAAGAAGGAGCCAGACATTTCAGGAGAGCAGGAGGAAGAATAATCCCAGAAAATGGAACACGCCCTGAGACAGTAAAGAGTTTGTCTTGCTCAGGTACAAGAGAGATCACTATGGATGGACAGGAGTAAATCAGATGGGAAGGATGGGATAAAATGAAGTTTAAAGAATTTATGCAGAATTGTGATTTTCCTTGGATGTAATGGAGAGCATCTGATATGCTTACAAAGAAACGTGTTACTTTAGAACACAGCCAAAATTACTTGTTAACTAAGGATATGTTTTCATACATCATAATTGTAAAAGTGGTTATTTTAAACTGCAGAAAATTTCCATCAGCTGTAAAGCTGCAAGTCAGTTCATAATACTGTCACAGTCCTATAGCTATTGTAGCCTTTTCACTTGTAATCAGTAAACTTCCCTACTCTGTTAAAATCTGGCTCTAGTGCTCTGCTTCCTTCAGAGCACTTATCCCACTTTGAACTTTTTTGATTTTTTTTTTTTTTTGTCTTTCCCCCACACTGTTCTGTCTACTCTACAAGTACACAGGCAAAGCCTGTCTTGTTAACATTCTTTTCCCACAAGCTCATACCATACTTAGCACTAAGTAGATAATCAACACTTATTTTGATTTTTTGAGACAAGATCTCACTCTGTCGCCCAGGCTGGAGTGCAGTAGTGTGATCTCGGCTCGATGCAACCTCCTCTTCCTGGGTTCAAGAGATTCTTGTGTTTCAGCCACAGAGCAGCTTCGATTACAGGCATGTGGCACCATACCCTGCTAGTAGGTAATTAGCACTTTATGAACAATCAACAAATATTATTCATCTAGTATTTAATGAACACTTAGTTGTTCTAGACTCTGAGGAAACGGGAAGACTGAAATATACCATTCCATACCTTTAAGAAGCTCAAAAGGGGGACGGCAGGGTCTCATAAACAGCTAAGTTATGAATGCTGTCAACAACTGTTTTGTAAGTCCAAAGGAGAACACATATGGTCAGACAAAAAATTTTCTTTGTGCAAGCATAACTATTTACGTGGAAAATACAACAAAGGTACAAAAGTATAATCAGAGGTATTTAATTAATACCTTTACTAAAAAAGTCTATCATGCAAAACAGCTTCGTTTATATCAGCTGAGGATAATGGGATACTGCCTACCTTATTCCCGTGTGGACTTCAGCATGGGGAAAGTCTGACAAATATGACATTAAAAACAAAACAAAACAAAACAAACAACAAAAAAACCCTCTAACTGCTGAGCAGTGCATAGGGTAAGCTTACACAATATCCAACCTGTTGTGTGAAATTCCAGAATTTCCATCCCCACCAGGTCTAAGGGTGCCAAGTTTTGATCTGCACTAATTCAGCAGTATGTTTACAGTCTTTCCACAGGTAATTGGCTAACTAAAGAAAAATAGTCATGGCTACACTAGCAGAAAGGAAGCGCAAATTATAAAGAACAAGGAAAGAAAGCAAGAAAAAAAAAGAAAACTAATAGGATCACAGGATTAAGTTCAGCATTATTTAACAAGTGATACACAGAGCAAGTTGACAAAAACAAAAGCCTTTTCAGCATACTCAGAAGCAAAAAGAGGGCTGTGTAACGCAACTTAGATCTAGCATTTTGCTGAAGTGAAATCTTGCACTCCTTAAAAGAGGAAATAACTTTCTTTCCCCTTAAAAGTGCACACACACACACAACACAAAAATCAGCAACAGCTTGGTATTTTATAGATTTTTCTAGTCCCTTAAAAAAATAGCACAGCATGACCCTCAAAAAGAACATCAGCGCCTTTAGCCAGCTTAAAAAACAAATCCGCAGCCTAGAAAACAAAGAAACTGACCGTGCAATAAAATGTGGTTGGTGTTAATAAACGCAGATTTATCTAATTTATTCTTAAACAGATGTGTTGTAAAAACAAGTGGTTAGCTGCTGTTACTGCTATGCAAAAAAAAAAAAAAAAAGTAAAGAAAGAAAAGAAAAAGAAAAAAAAAGAAAAACAAGTTGTGCAAGGGGCTTTAACTAGTTTTTTTCAGCATAAAAAGAGTATGTAACCAAATGCTTTTAGAACCTCAACTCGAATTTTATGTAAACGGCAATGGTTCTAAATTAGTAATGCTCTAAATGTCCGTACCAAAGTCTAACTTGTGTTGTAAGTCGTTCAACTCAACATCTATGTATTGAACATATTCCTACTAGTTGGAGTAGGAAATGAATCTTTATTCTTTGCCCACATACAAAACACTAATATTTGCTGAAAGACAACTATGAATTTGCCTATTATACTGGATTTACTGATGAACTAAAAGACTTCAAGCAAACTTACATATTCAATACTCATGATGCAAAATGGCAACAATGACACCAAAATGCCAAGCACTGAATTGAAGAAAACAAGTTAAACATGACTAAATATCAAGATCCCATTCATGCAGTTTCTGGGAATCCTGTCAAACACCAGCAACTCTTCTGGTTATTTCTCCTCGCCAAGAATACTGCTGAAATAAACGCCAGCTAGCCATCGCACAGCTTATCAATATAGGCTGAAATTTCTAGAAAAGTTGATGACCAGAAGCGAGGCCCAGTCACAGACATCAGCACCACATTTCTAAGGGGTGGCAAACCCGGCAGAGGATGCCACACGGTGTGTGCACCTGCCAGCATTCGGGCAGGAGGGTGTGGACCTGACGGGCAAGGTCCGTTCCGCACCGGTAGCGCCCTTACCCCTCGGCCCGCCCAGCGCTGGCCCGCCACGGTTCTTCCACCCCTACCCTCGGCTCCCACACAACGGCCCTCGGGCTCCGGGGCCGGCGCTCCGCCACCCCAGCGTCTCTACAGAGGGGCAGGGGGGCAGCCGCCCCTCGCCTCCCCACAACCCCGCGCGCGCGAGGCCACCCCGCGCCAGGAAGAAGGATGGCGTTCGCCCCGCGCGAGTCCATACACAGCTATATCCTAAAGATCCGCCCCAGAGCATTCAGTCCTCTCTCCACCCCTCCTGGGAGAAGTGGCCCCCCACAACGTCCTTCAAATCCTTCACACCCGGTGACCGCGACCGGCAGCCTTACCCCGACCCCAACAAGCACACCCCTAGAAATAACGCCTCCGACTCCAGCCGACTGGGTGACTGATCGGCGGCAGAGCGTTCACGACACTTTCGCGATTGCCGTAAAGGGAGACAGGGTCTGAGCGAGCGGCACCGAAGGCGCGCTCCTTGGGGCCATGAGCGCGCCCCGGGGCCGACCGGTCCGCTCGGGAGCGCGCGCCACGGCTCCGCCCTGTGTTACAGCCAGCGGGCTTCGGCGGCGTGAGCTGCCGGCGCAGGTCGGTCTGGTAAGGTAAGTCCAAGCAGGAGAGAAGGGATGGGCCCCAGCACCTGGAGCCGCTCCCTCTGGAAGGGTGCGTCAGAGGGTTGGATCTGGCAGGTCGGGGAAGTGGGTGCAGCCTGGAGCCCCCTCACCCGCGTGGCGGCCGCGCGAGTCTCGTGCTGGCTCTCATTGCCTCCGGGGGCTACCTTGTGCCAGGCGCCAGAGAGGGGCTGGTCCCGGCGGGAGCTGCGGGTGGGCTCCGGGGCATCCAGGGGCGGGGATGAGTGCAGTGGGCTCAGCTCTCCGTGCTCCACCTTTCTGTCCGCTTCCTTGGTCTCCCCTACTCTCCTCCTACCCCAAGCAGTGGCTGCTGCCAAGTTGCGACTCTCGCGTCTTTTCCTGGTCCTAGGCAAAGCGGAGCGGAGATCCTCAAACGGCCTAGTGCTTCGCGCCTCTGGAGAAAATCAGCGGTCTGATTAATTCCTCTGGTTTTGTTGGAGAGGATTACCAAGAATCTTCGCCCCAGTCCCACAAAAGCTACAGTTGAGTACACACGTTCCTGTTGTTAGTTCTGGGCTCAGATACCTTGGTGGCTGGAAGGAGCGAGGGGGAGGGGAGAGTTTGAAATTATCCCTGGTGACCTTGTGTGTTTACACGAAGCTCGGTTTTTTACACTCAATTCTATCACAGTGGGTGGGTCCCATACAGAAAGGAAACTGCTGGTCTTGGGTATCTTCACATCCGTGCTTTGTATTAGGATACATCTGAAAAACACAGAAACACCGTAGAAATAATCTTTCCAGTTCTCCCAAATTTTAATTTATGAATCGGTAGCCAAATGCAACTCTGTGTTTTGCATTGCATTAACAGATTGTCCTCATTTCTCTTAATTTAACATTTGACGCATCTTATAAAAACATTACTTGATTTTCTAGGCTCTTTAGAATTTAACCATTAGGAGAATATTACGTTTGTCATGAGGTTAAGTTAGAGTTTAGAAAAGTATTTTAAAATTATATTTTATTTTGAGCCTGATGGTTCTGTGCACCTCTGAAAGAAGCTTAGGGCTTTCTGACTGATCACTTAGAACATCCAGACTTTACTTTCTTATTTCCTAGCATTCACCACTTGGTGAAGACAGCATGAGGAATTCCTTTTATTACCAAAGGCATTTAAGTATTTGTAAAAAACAAAAACAAACAAACAAAAAATTGTAATCACAGCTTTGATTCATGGAACTTCACAGAAAGCAGAGAAGATAGGCTACAGATGCAAGAACATTGATTGATTGATTGATTGATTGAGACGGAGTCTCGCTCAGTTGCCAGGCTGGAGTGCAGTGGAGTGATCTCAGCTCACTGCAACCTCTCACCTCCTGGGTTCAAGTGATTCTCTTGTCTCAGCCTCCCAAGTAGCTGGGATTACAGGCAGATGCTACCACACCCAGCTAATTTTTGTATTTTTAATAGAGATGGGGTTTTGCCATGTTGGCCTGGATGGTCTCCGTCTCCTGACCTCACGATCCGCTGGCCTCAGCCTCCCAAAGTGCTAGGATTACAGGTGTGAGCTGCCGCGCCCGGCCTGCAAGAACATTTTTATTAAACATTCTTACTGCCCAGTGAAATTTGTTCCTGTATACTCTCAATTATTTTGAAAGGTTTTCGGAATTATGAATCATTGTTAATTTTGTTTGGTTGGCCATTACTCAGCAATGCTTACAGCTTTCAAAGGCAAAAACACATTGACAACTAGTCTTCCTCACCTAGTCCATGCATTTAAATTCCTCAGTTGTCATTCACAAACTGGTAAACCATTGCAAGCCCTGCTTCTATAAATTGTCAGTTTGAACAAGAGTCTGAAAGCCTAAAGAGATACAAATCCAAGATAATTCATACATAGAAAAAATTCATACATAGAGGTTGTACTCCATACCTGTGGCTTTGTGACTACAGAATTAATAAATCAGCTATCATTATTATAGTGTATGCTTATTCTGGTCCACTCCAAAGAACAACTCTTTGAATACTGTAACTCAGAAGCTAAGTAAGTTGCCTGAAATCATATAGTTGGTCAGTAATAAAGGTAGGACTTGCATTTAGATAAATCTCACTTCACAGCTCTGTTCTTTACCTTACATCACATGGACTTGCAACTGCTTTATTTGGCTTAATAATAAAGCTATTTTTTTCCCCTCATTTTGTCTCTCTATAGGAGAAGACTCAATATTTTTACTTCTATGCTTTTTAAGCTAGTGAAGGTGTTGGATGTGAGAATGCACACGAAAATTGATATCCTGGAATTAAAACATTATTTAAGATGGTACAACATCATTATAAACTCAGTTGTCAACTCTTTAAAGAAAATTAACCTGTTAACAATGCTATAGCCTAGTATTCTGCCCATGAACAATATTGGTTTGTTGACTTAAAATTGTACATGTTTTAAATTATGTGGCTTGAGAGAAAAACTTCTTATTTTCTTTGTGTGTGGATATTAGGATTTACAAAAGGTGCAGGTATGAGCAGATCTGAAGACTTAACATTTTGTGAACTTGTAAAACAGGTAATTCATTTTTCACATTGTAAGAGGAACAAGTACATATCTATTATCTCTGATAATACTTTACATATCTTATCTAATCCTTGAATAAACCTCTATGAAATGGGTATTATTTTATACTATTTAACAGATAATACCTAAAGCTACCATTTGTTATCCATCATCAGTGCATTAAGTTCTTTGTTTGTGCTATCAGTATAAGCTGTAAAAACACTACCCCACATAGTCCAATGGAACTTTTCCACAGTCATGGGAATATTCTAAATTTTTACTGTCTTGCATGGTAGCCACTAGACACATGGCGTTTGAGCATTTTATTTTATTAAATTTTATTTAATTTTAATTTATTGAAATGTAAATTTAAATAGTTACATGCAGCAGAAGTTGCTGCAACAGGTGATACAGTCTGTGCTGATAACGTTCCATTTTTCTTTCTTTTTTCTTTTTGAGAGTCTTGTTCAGGCTGGAGTGCAGTGGCACAGTCTCGGCTTACTGCAACCTCCAGCTCCATGAGTCAAGCTATTCTCCTTCCTCAGCCTCCTGAGTAGCTGGGATTATAGGCATATGCCACCATACCCAGCTAATTTTTGTATTTGTAATAGAGGCAGGTTTTCACCGTGCTGGCCAGGCTGGTCTTGAACTCCTGACCTCGTGATTCACCCGCCTCAGCCTTCCAAAGTGCTGGCATTGCAGGTGTGAGCCACCACGTTGGCCCCACATTATTCCATTTTTCTTGTTTATTTATTTATTTATTTTTATTGCATTTTAGGTTTTGGGGTACATGTGAAGAACACGCAAGATTGTTGCTTAGGTACACACATGGCAGTGTGATTTGCTGCCTTCCTCCCCATCACCTGTATCTGGCATTTCTCCCCATGCTCTCTCTCTCCGACTCCCCATCCCCTACTGTCCCTTCCCTATTTCTCCTGTTCCATTTTTCAAAGGAGAAACTGGTTCAGTGAAGTTATGACGCTTGCTCCAGTTCACACAACTTTATTTAAAAGTTTTGAGCAGAGGAATACTTTAGGAATGTTAATTTGGTAATGCAGGTGGAATGGGTGAAGGGGAAGGAAAAAGTAGGCCAAAAGAATTCAAAGTCAGAATCAGTTTAAACGACTTGTAGAAATACAATTGCCGTCACTTGGTGACAGCATATGAGGACTTTATAAGAGAGAACCTAAGATTCCTCTGAAGTCTTAGAATCCTGATAACCTGAAAAAATGGTGATGTTGTTTACTGAAATAGAAAAATCATGAACAGTTTTGGGAATTAAAAGGATTTTGCTTTGGCTGTTCATTCAACAAATATTGAGTGATATACTATGGGCAAGGCCCTCTGCTATGCTTAGGTAGAGAAGTGGAAGAATTTTATTCCTTTAAGACACTGTTCTCACTTTTCATACTGCCAAAGATAATGAGCTATAAAAGATGTATGTACAAATCAGGTGTTCTCAGAGAAAGGAGTGCTTATCTTATTTCTTTTCTTTTTTTTCGAGACAAAGTCTTGTGCTGTTGCTCAGGCTGGAGTGTAGTGGCACAATCTCGACTCACCGCAACCTCTGCCTCCCAGGTTCCAGCAATTCTCCTGCCTCAGCCTCCTGAGTAGCTGGGATTACAGGCAGGCACCACCATGCCCAGCTAAATTTTTGTATTTTTAGTAGAGACGGGATTTCACCATGTTGGTCATGTTGATCTCAAACTCCTGAGCTTATGATCTGCCTTCCTCGGCCTCCCAAAGTGCTGGGATTACTGGCATGAGCCACCGCACCTGGCCAGGGATGCTTATTTCTACATACAAATGGATTAGGCAAAGTTGTCCGTGGAAGATAGCATTTGAGCTTTTGAAGAAAAAAGAAAGGATTTAGACATGTAAAACAACAAAAGAGGGAGGAGGTTTTGCTGCTAGCAATGAGGTAGACAAAATATTTTGAAAATCACTTTTGCCAAAACACCTAAATGCTGAATACATTACATTAGCTCATTAAATTGATGACAGGTCTTCTATGAAAGAAAGGGAAATCTCCAGGGCTAAAAGATTAAAAAAAAAAAAAAAAAAAAAGAGCTGAAACTAGAGTAGTATACTAGCAGAGTGTTTCCTTTGAGGGCATTTGGCTGATAGCAAAAGTAAAGCACAATCAGGGAACAGGTGACAGGCTGTCTCTACCCAAAGTGGAGAGACAGAATTCATACCCCTGTAACCTCCCAGGCACACAGCTCCCATGGGTGCCATTCCATGGTAGTTGATGTAAATGGTGCCTATGTTTCAGGGGGTGATGTTTTTATAGAATGAAGTTTAAGTTGTACAGCTCACGGTATTGGAGAAGCACCTTCCCCCAAATTCAGTGAGGACCCACAAAAGTCTACATACTCATTCAAAGGTGGGTCAGAAAAATATGCTGCCCCCACCCCACCTCTTTGAGTTCTCTCTTTGAGAGATCACAAAGAAATTTGTAAATTTTTACCACAGCTCCAGTTGGGGGAATGAAGATACCACCTGAGAACTTGAAACTGGAGGGTCTGCCATCACTAATAGTCAAGGTTCACCTTTATATATCTACACTGTCTAAAAATCCAGAAGCCAAGAAATTAACATAACGTTGGCCCGGGTTGGTAATATACCCTAGTGTCTGGAAAAAAACAAATACAGATCCTCACTGTAATGACTCACTCTTTGTTTAAGCCTTTTAGAATACTCCCAGATTTTAAAATTGTCTAACTACAAGCTCACAGTCAAAAACCATAAAACGTATGTGCAAGGGTCAGCTGAACTGACAGAGACTCCTAAGGACTTATAGGAATGATCAGAAACAGAAATTAACATTTAAAGAGATGAGAGATGAAAAATTAAAAATACTAGAAATGACTCAAAATTATGTAAATTAAGAACTCTTGTCCTGGAAACCTATGCTGAAGAAAGCACTGATAGGATTTTGGCAAGGAGTTGTGATTAACTGAATAGATGAAGAAAAAAAATGTTAATGGGAGGTTAAGAACTGACAAGGAAAAAGGAAGAGAAGAGAGGAGATTACGAAATGCAAATGTACATATTTAGCAACAAATCAGATGGTCAGAGTACATGACAAATATAAATCAAAAATGGGTGAGATTTCATTCTTTGGAAAGTCAGTCTCAGATGAGGAAGCTGTAAGTAGTCAAAAAGTTCATGGAAAATACTATATTTCTTTAGGTCATCAAAATATGAGAAGATACTCCTTCAAACATGAAATTATTCTCACATGCGTAGAAGTACTGTAATTTAAAAGTATTTCTATATTTTTAAAAATTAAAAGAATTAAAAGCATGAAGTTGTACCAGTGTTTCTTAATTCACGTAATTGACTCATTGTTACTGAACAACATCCTTAGTCTGGAATTCAAGGAAGAAAGTGGTGATGTGTGGTACAGGTATATTTAAGCCCTCTGTCTCTGCCCCTTCTCCCGCTGCCCCCATGTAGGAGCTGAAAATGTAACAGTGGACACAACAGTTGTTTCCTGCTCTCACAGAACTTAAGGTTTAGTCAGGAAGAGAAAACCAAACAAGCAAGTTAAGTATAATGAGTGCCCTGGTTGGGGAAGTGAAGGGTGCTGCTAAAAACAAAGCAGGGACCCTCAACTGAAGCTGGAAGGATTGAGCCTTGAAAAACATATAAATGTTAACTGGGTAGGTAGTGTTCTAGTCACCATGAAGGTCTGAAGGTGTGACAGAGCACATGACACATTTGAAGATCTGCAAGAATTTTGCTATGGCTGTGTGGCATAGTTGATTTGGTGTTAGAATCACATTGCTTGAGTTTGAATCCTATCTCCATCACATCCAGCTCTATGACCTTTGACAATTGTCTTAACCTCTAATTCTGTTGAGGAAAGTACCTATTTCACATATTTAAGGTATTTAATAAACACTGTTAAGGCATAGTAAGGAGGACTGAGAAACAATAGAGAAACTAGGCTGAGCTGAGTGGCTCACACCTGTAATCCCAGCAATTTGGGAGACTGAGGTAGGAGGATTTCTTAAGCCCACAAATTTGAGACCAGCCTGGGCAACATAATGAAACCTCATCCCTACAAATAATAAAAAAAAAAAGTTAGCTGGGCCAGGTGGTGTGTACTTGTGGGACCAGCTACTTTGGAGGCTGAGGTGGGAGGATCACTTGAGCCAGGGAGGTCAAGGCTGATGTTAGCTGTGATTGTACCACTGCACTCCAGCGTGGGCAGCAGAGTGAGGCCTCATCTCAAAAAAAGAAAAAGAACAACCAACCAAAGTGTTTTTCCTATTCCCTCACTCAATAATCAACACGATACTTCTCTGGTCATCAACAAGTGTAGAGATTAATCTCCACCAGTCAACACCAGTTGGATGTCTCCTAATTCAGTTCTGATGGTATCTACCTAGAGATAACATCAGATCGCACTTGCTGAGGGCTCAGTCCCACTAGACTACCTCACAACTTCTGACACCAATCACAAGCCCAGGTTGTCTTACCTGTTTCTGACCGGATGGCTATAAACCAAGGTTCCCACTATCCCCTTCTTATGTTTGATTAATTTGCTAGAGTGGCTCACAGAACTCAGGGAAACGTTTATATTTACCAGATGCAGAAGGCCAGGGATGTGGGAAAGGGCAGAGAGCTTCTGCGCTCTCTCTGGGTATGCCATCCTTCAGGAGCCTCACATGCTTGGCTGTCTAGAAGCTCTCTGAACCCAGTCCTGTTGGTTTTTTATGGGTGCCTTATTACACAGGCATGATGAACATAACTCTTACCCTCTCTCTGCCTTCCTGGAATTGGGGAACGTCCAATCCTCTAATTAGGCCTTGGTCTTTCCTGTGACCAGCTCCCATCCTGAAGCTATCTATGGGTTGCAAGCCTTATTAGCCTATAGAAGACCCTGGAGATGCCAAGGATTTTAAGAGCTTTTTGCCAGGAAATGGGATGAAGACAAAATACATTATATTTTGCAATATTGTAGGGACTGCTTAGGAAGTTATAATAATTGGCCAAGAGGTGGTAGTTGTTTGGGTAAAGTAGTGACAATGAAGATGGAGAAAAGGGGTAGATTTGAAATGAATTTAGGAGGTAGAATAAACAGTACTTGGTACTCAGTACTTCCTATGGGAAGGTGGGACAGAAAGTTATGTTTCTAGCCATGTCAAGTGGTTGGTGAATCTTGGTTCCACTCACTAAGAAGGTGAAGGAGAGCGGGTGTTGGGGTAGGGCATAAGGGATGATTTCAGAGGTGGAACAGCTTGGGGTGGTGAGTACAAGGCTGGGGGCGTGGATGGCTAAAGTAGGATGAGGAAACCCTTGTGAATTATCTTTTCTAATTTGCTTTTTCTATTTCAGAAAACTTGTTTGAAATGTGGTGGTTTCAGCAAGGCCTCAGTTTCCTTCCTTCAGCCCTTGTAATTTGGACGTCTGCTGCTTTCATCTTTTCATACATTACTGCAATAACACTCCACCATATAGACCCGGCTTTACCTTATATCAGGTAAGTGACATGTATTCTTTGTATAGCAGACTCTTTATGTCTCATTCTTATTTTAACATTGAAGCCAACATTTAATGTCAACCTTTTAAAAATCAGATTTGACACTGACATTACAACAATAAAGGGAATGTAAAAAGGAATTGAATTTGACTTTTTTTATGTGATAGAGAAATGTAGAAACGAGCCCAGTAAGATTCAGTTTGTGAACTGGTTATTGAACTGAGACTTCCTAGTGCCTTCTTTTCTAAGTATTTGAAGTTGGTTGAGAATATAGAATTAGAATGATTCTCCCCTTAAATTTAAAAAATATGCTGCAAACAATAATAATAATATGAAAAGATAATGGAAATGACAAACATTTCTTGATATACTTACTGTGTAGGAAGTGATTTTCTAAGCATTCTTCATATCCTAAATAGTTGAATCCTTACAGCAACCAGATGAGGTAGGAACTGTGATCCTCATTTGAGAGAAAAGGAAATGAGGTGCAGGGAGGTCAAGTGATTGGCTCATGGAAATACAACTCAGTTAGTGTTGGCACCAAGACTTAAACCTGGACAGTTTGACTCTAGAAGCCGAGCTCTTACTCTTTATGCTGCCAAAAATTTATCCATAATGTTTTTGAAATCTTACAATGAGTGAAGTAAGAATGGGTAGTTAGTTGCATATGTTATGTCCCATAACCCTCTTTTTTTAAAAAAAAAAAAATTGCAATAGCAATAAGTAATTATTACAACAAATTTTAAACCGTACTAGAGAGATTATAAAAATAAAAAGTGAAAATCCCTTCCTGACACCCTCCAGTTTCTATACCCTAGAGGTAATTCATAGTCTGGTAGATTTCCTTCCAGAATTTGGTTTATCTTGTTATCACGTTTGTTCAAAACTCTCTTTTTTTCTCCTTTCTCACTGTTTTGCATTTTAAATTTTGTTCTGTTTATAAAAAGTGATAGGATGTTGATATACAAATTGCTTATTCTTCCTCCCTTTTTTTTGGCTGTTACAAACAGTGCTATAATGAAGGTTTCATTACATATAACAACATATCGATACTGATGTGAGGTAGATTTCCACAAGTAAGATTGCTAAATAGGTAATAGGGCATCTACATTTTTTATTTGACATTTCCAAACATACCTCTAAAAGTGTTGCATCAATATATGCATTAACAGAAGGGATATGAGGAAATCATAATCATATAAATGATTTCTGAGCTATTGAGGTTTAAACTTCTGTATAAATGTTACATGAATTACATAGGACAGGGAGATGAAGAAAACATAATTATTAAAATATTGTTATTATTAAATATGATTATTAAATAAGCAACTACCAGTGTTTTAATCTAAATGCTTTCACCCAGGTCCTCCCCCAAAAGTATCAGCCTCTATGTGATGCCTTTGAAACATCATCTCCTCACAGAGATGCCAAATTTTGCTGCTGTTGTTGAGTAATATTCTTTGTTTTGCTACAGTTGTGGTTGTTTCATTTATTCATTTGTTTACCTTCAGAAAAATAACCTTTCCAACACAGAAAATAGTAATCTTTTAAAGAGTGATAAATTGGAAGGTTAAATTTATTTTTTACAAATGTCAAAAAAAGATCTGGGCATTACTGTCTGCATGTGTTGTTTCTACACTGGTATGGTATGGCACAAAGGATGTAAACAGATTGGATGCAGTTTGGGAAGATTTACAAAACCCAAAAGTGTTTTATAATTTAAGGTTCCAATTCGAGGAATAATTTGATTTTACTATTCTGCTAGTGGAACGTGCAGCCTGAGGAGCCACACTATCCTTTAGTAACTCCAGAAGATATATATTTAAGATTTTTGAGAATCTTTCAGAGTATTTCTTTTTCTCCATCTGAGAACTTGTCTGCTTTCATTTTGAAGAACTTTTAATACAGGCAGCCCTCCATATCCATGGGTTCCACTTCTATACATCCAGTCAACCATAGATTGAAAATATTTTGGGGAAATAAATATCATCAAGTCCCAAAACTTTAATTTGCCAACTGCCAAGTACTATATTGAATCCACAGGAATGAAATGATGTGTATTAGATATTATAAGTAATGTAGAGACAATTTAAAGCATATGGGAAGATGTACATAGTTTATATGCAAATACTACACCATTTTATATAAGATGCTTGAGCATCCCCAGGTTTTATTATACGATGGGGGTCCAAGAACCAGTCCCCCACAGATACCAAGGGACTACTGTAATATAAGAGGCCATTTAGTTCTTTTTCAGAGTTTCAGTTCCTTGATGGTACTGCATGTGATTTTCTTTAAAGCATCCTAGACACTTCCTTTTCTGTTCTGCCCCTTCTGCTTTTTTAATTTTTCTGCTCTTGAACTTAGTATTACACTGAGGTCTTTCTCCAGCATTCTGACATACATATTTAAACTCTAGTACTTATTTTTATTTCTTGTAGGCTCATTTTCTTCATCTGCAAAATGGTTGAGTTAAACTAGATAGTCTGCAAAATTCTTTTCAGTTCCTAGATAGTGTCCAAAAGGTTTAGCTGTTAGCCTGGGCAACAGAGTGAGACTCCGTCTCAAAAAAAAGAAAAAAAAAAAAAGTGTAGCTGTTAACAGCCCCAGTGGACATAACCAAATGTAAATTTCACTTCAAAGGCAATTTTGCTACAAGTGTACTTCAAGAGTTCTCTTAGTTGGTTCAAGTAGTGGATGTCCAAGGGAGTGACTAGTCACTGGGATGAGAGAAGAAATATTATAATGTCTATATATATATTTAATCTAAAAACATTTAAACTTTGCCAATATTTAACATATAGAATAATGATAACCATATATTTTGATGTTAGATGGTCAGACATTGTTTGGTGATTATGTGTGATCAACACTTGGTGACTACTGAGATGAAGTGCTACAGTAATGAGGTGATGGGCATGGCTGTTTCCATTTGTAGGCCAGCGTATGTCATTCTGTCCTGAGCCAAAGGAAGGAACACTTAGCCAACCATCTTGGAAATGCATGCTTTTGTTTACTAACAGGGTAATCCAAAACCCATGCCTCATTTGGTGTATACCTATGAAAATTACAGATTTCTTTTTTCTAAGAATAATACATATACATTGTAGAAAATTTGAAAAGTAGAAGAAACAAAAAACCGTTTATTCCCTACTCCTGAGATGGTCAAAGAGTACTGAAATCTTTTGTAGCAAAAGATACATTTTATTATCTTATAATTTTTCTTTACAAATACCTTATTTTTTGTTTCTCTATTTTTACATTTTTATTTTTTTTTTAAGAGAAAGATTCATGGAATTGTAAAGTTAAAAGGAGAAATCCTTACAATTCATGTTTAATGCTTTCCATTTTCTAACGCCCCTAATCTGAACGTTTACAAATCTTATGGGTTCTTACCAGCTGTAACCTTCTATTTATTTTTTCTCCCCATTGCATTGTCTTAGTTGAGACCCTGATTATCTCTTTCCTGTATCAATTCAAGGCCAGAGACATTGTCTTTTTAATCTTTGTAGTAGTTTGAGGAAGGGGAAAAGGAACTAATATTTCATAAGTGTCTCTCATTAGCCTGCTACTATGCTTGATACTTAATACGCATTACTATTACATTTCATCCTTATAGTGATATGATGAGGCTGGGAGGGAATGAATAACCCCATTTTGCAATGATAGGAATAGTTTTAGGCAGATAAAAGGATGAATGTAAGGTCCTGCGGTAAGTAAATGGTAGGTTTTTAATCTGCCCCTGTGTGTTGCATACTGCTCTGAAGACAGGCATGCAAGTGGATACATTGCAGTGCTGTGTGGTGAGTGAGTTCAGAAGCACGAAGTTACAGAAGTTCAGAAAGCATGCCGGGTGAGTCACTATCTGCTAGAGGAATTTTCCAATACTGTAGAGAGGAAGAGACTCAAAACTGGTCTTGAATGTAAGCTCTGCGAGGGCAGGGGCTTTGTCTATTTTATTGACCACTGTGTTCCTGTCCCTGAAATGGTGTCTGGCACATAGTAAGTGCTTGATAATACGTTTAATATTTGATCAGTTAGTGAATAGGTATTAATTGAATACAGGCATAGTCAGCAAAAGGTGCAAAAAGGCAGTTGTGAAAGACATGGTGTTTAGGGAATATTCTGGTGGGACAGATAAATGCATCTGCCTGAATGATGGTAAGTCAATAACATAGCCTTAACATACCGAGGATAGCTTTTAAAAATCAATATGTATTGATTTCTACTATGTGGGAGAGAAATAACCTTAAAATGATGTGAGTAAAAAGTGAAGTAGGCAGATATTTGTGAACTCAAATTGTCGTGTTCTCTGTATAAAATGATATATAAGTTGAATTCATGGACTTATAAAAGATAAGAGATTTGAAGTAACTCCTGGTATTCTTATCCCTTAGAAGAAATATATGTGTCTATCTAGTGAGAAATCCACATACCTCCCTTTTTTTCTTTCAGTGACACTGGTACAGTAGCTCCAGAAAAATGCTTATTTGGGGCAATGCTAAATATCGCAGCAGTTTTATGTAAGTAGTGAAAGTGATTTTAATAATGATATTTAATAGCCAAATTGCTACAGTATTTTCTTCTTTCAACACTGTAGTGTTACTTGTTACACTTGAGAGTATGTTATCACTAAATAATGGAACATAATTATGTTCCTTTTAAAAGAAAAACACTTTTCTAGAAATGCTGACTTATGGGAATAAACCTTTAAAAAATATGTATAGGATTATTGTACTGTTCATTCAAATGAAAGTTGTTAAGTATAACCAAATACTTCTTGAGGACTTTAATGGACTTCTTAGGCAACCAGTAAGGAACAAAGGGTTATAGATGCAGCTGACCACAACTAACCCCAACTAAATTTCTTTGGGATAAAGTTTAGAATAAAGTTGGAACCATGTTTTGATTTTTGAGCAACATTCTACTTTTTTTTTTTTTTTTTTTTGAGATGGAGTCTCACTCTGTCACCCAGGCTGGAGTGCAATAGCACAATCTTGGCTCACCGCAACCTCCACCTCCTGGGTTCAAGCAATTCTTCTGCCTCAGCCTACTGAGTAGCTGGGACCACAGGCGCATGCCACCACGCCTGGCTAATTCTTTTGTATTTTTAGTAGAGACGGGGTTTCACCGTGTTGGCCAGGATGGTCTCGATCTCTTGACCTCGTGATCACCCTCCTCGGCCTCCGAAAGTGCTGGGATTACAGGCGTGGGCTACTGCATCTTATTGAGCCAAGTTGTAATTTGAAATAAAATAATATGAGTGTGACACAAACAAGCTTTTCAGATTTTTGCCTATGCCCATTTTATACATATTCTAGAACTAGTTCTTTCTGATTCTGATGCTAATCACAAAACTATTTTGTGTTTTATATGACCCTAAGTATTTGTAAATATGAGACCCATGGAAGGCAAATGGTTTGCTTAGTCACTGGAGACATCAGTAGTTCCATAATACAATCTTAAGGTTCTCCAACTTCTACAGCATGAGCCAGGCACACAGGTATATGCCTATAGTCCCAGCAATTTGGGAGGCTGACATCAATGGATCAGTTGAGGTGAGGAGTTGGAGTCTGGCCTGGGCAACGTAGAGAGACCCCATGACTTAAAAGCAAAAACAAAACTACAGCTATTTTTTTTTTCTTTTTATTCTCTCTGATTAATTTTAAAAGGAAAATCTGTGGTGCTGGATATCAGTGACCTTTGTGAACTCTTCATTGGCAACTGTATTTCCTGGTTATTTATTATTACTTTGTTGTTTTTTGGATTATCTTTTCCCAGGCATTGCTACCATTTATGTTCGTTACAAGCAAGTTCATGCTCTGAGTCCTGAAGAGAACCTTATCATCAAATTAAACAAGGCTGGCCTTGTACTTGGAATACTGAGTTGCTTAGGACTTTCTGTTGTGGCAAACTTCCAGGTTTGTGTTTTAGTCCAGCATAGATATTTTCCTTAAGTACATAAATATACATATAAAGGGAAACCTGAAGCATTCAGTTACATGCTATTGTTATTTCTTTACCTTAACAAAATAGAAATCACTTCCTTTAAATTATTTGACCCTATTAGAAATAGCTACTTGTACAATGAGAAAAATTCATATTTAAAAATTTGAACAAACACAAATTGTTTTAACTTTTTTTAGGATCCACAGAACAATTATTAGACTATTTATTACTACTTAGTTGGAGATTACTTCAACTCAGTACTGAAACAAAATTGATATAAATTATAAGTGACACAATTATAGATTTAAAAAGTTTTTAATATGTCTAACAATTTATAGTCATTTACCTACTTTATCTACTGGTTTGGTGGATATTTTCATTGATCGCCTGCATTTATAGGTGTCCTGCCTTGTACATGAGGAAATAAAAGGAAGAACTGTAGCTCTTCTAGCTTTTTCTCAGGAAAAGATAATGTCAAATACTTAAAGTAGTGGTCAACCTTTATCAAATATTTTTCAGTTTTCTGCAGAGAGAGCAGTAGGAAAGAAACATTGGGCCCAACTCTGAATAAAAGTAAAAGTGAGAATTTACAGCTGTGGAGCAGGGTGCAGTGGTTAGTGGATGGAAAATTACTAAGCTGGAAGCATAAGGGTTAAGGGATTCTGGTTAAACAGTCTTCGTTTGTTTTGTGTTGCCATGAAAGAAACTGCAGGCTGGATAATTTATAAGAAAACGGGTTTATTTGGGTCATGGTTCTGAAGGCTGTACAGGAAGCTTGATGCCAGCATTTGGTTATGATGAGGAAGCTTATACTTTTGATGGAAAGCAAAGGGGGAGCCGGTGTGTGCAGAGCTCACATGGCAAGGGAGGAAGCAAGGGGTGGTGGTGCCAGGCTCTTTTTAACAATCAGCTCTCATAGGAGTGAATACAGAGAGAACTCATTTACCACCCCCAAACCCCCACATTAATCTATTCATGAGGGATCCACCCCTGTGACCCAGACGCCTCCCTTTAGGCCCCATTTCCAATACTGGGGATCAAATTGCAACTTGATATTTGGAGGAGTCAAATGTCAAAACCATAGCAGTGACCTAATAGGATTCTTGGTGAAGGCAGGCCAGGATGATTAGACATCACCTGAGGTGATAATTAGATTTATGGTGATCAGATGTGGAGGATGGTGGATTCTGGCTAAACTGACTTAACAAGATTCTTGCTAAAATTGGACAATGTATAGATGAACATAGCAACTCAGAAGTCAGGACCTAGTTGACAAGAGAGTTCAAAGGAACCTGAGCTGGGTTTGGTGAAGGAGAGAATTTTTGTCACCTGACAGAAATTCCTGTAATTTCATGTAATTCCACCGACATTCATGTTTGCTAGTTATTGAGGTGCAAGGGGTTGTGCACAGGTTGGAAGAAATGGACCCTGGAAAAAAATGTAGTTTTGCTGACATTAATTCCCAGCAGCCACTTTACACTATAAAAGGAGAACAACAGTTTGAGTGGACAACTAGCTAGCTGTCTGTGCCACAAATAGAGTTCTGCTTTCCCTAATCAGTTTCTGTAGCTCATTGTTAAATGTTTTGGGGAATTTTAGTGTCACACTAAAAATGGTGATTCTCTGTTTCACTTGTCTCTTGGTCAATTTAACAATGTTTCTCATTACTTTTACGGTAAAAATGAATCTCCAATATTTGTTTATACAGCCCAGCAAATTCCAGTAACAGTTCTTGATAGCACCCACACAAGCTGCCTTTCCACGTTTTATCTCACTTACTTAAGGTAGCCTATATACTTTCTTTACTGTTTTGCTTTTAGCTTTTATTCTAATTTACCTTCACCACAGGAGTCCCTTTGGACTTGTAATTTTAAATTAAATTACTTTTTCTCTCTTGATAACATTTCTTCATGCAACTTTAGATGCCCTCTTCCTCTTTCACTGATGGCTTTATTGCTGAACTGTGTTTAAAAGCAGACCCTGAAGCATCACCCAAATATCAAACAACTCTTACCTTTCTTTTTTGTTTTTAATGAAAAAAAATTTTTTTTTCTTTTCTCACCACTCTATTAGTGAGGATCTCCTTCATTTCCAGAGTAAACCTTTACTATTTAATTAAAGTGGTCAGTGCACTGCTTCCTCCTCCACTTCCCCTTTTCTTTTATGGAGACAAACTCTAGGTGATTTATACAGGAAAAATTTTACAAAGTCAGATCTATAAGGTTTGCCCTTGCAGGTATTGGCTTGGAAGAGAGGCTTGCACTGTGTTTTAAATGGAGTTGGGACTTACTGGTTTTAGTTCTTGAGTGTTTTTTGAAGACATTCACTTCTTTTCATTTCTATCTTTACTTCCCTCTTTATTGTCTTCTCAAGTAGTGTAGATTTCATCATCTCTCATCTGAGCTACTGCCATAGCCTCCTCAATGGTTCCTGTGCATTCATTCTTACAGTCCTTTAATCGTTTCTTCATATTGCAGTAAAAGTGATCTTTTGGAAATGTAGATACATCTTACTTCGCTTCCCTGTGCCCTTGCTTAAAGCTCTACAGGTTTAAAAATTATGTGAAAGGAGATACAATCAAGAGAGAAAAAAATAATTTGCTCAACCACCAAACTGCCTAACTAACTCAAAGATCTTGTACTATCTGGCTTATTTCTACCTCTCAAGCCTAACTTTGCATTATTCCCCTTCTTAATGTCTCCATTGTATATATCACTGGCCTTTTTGTGCTCCTTAAATAGCACAAGCTTGTTTAACTCCCTTTCCCATGCAGTTTTCCTCTGTTTGGTATGCCATAATACCTTTTATATCCATGGTTGTTTAAATTTATTATTTTTATTTCTTAGTTGATGTATTTCTTTATTAATCGTAAGCACAATGGTTTTGTTCACCATTGTATCTCCAGCACCTAGTTTAGTACTTAGGACAAACATGCTTTCGTAATTATTTAGTAACTTACTAAGAGATGTTAAAGGAACTATGCAGGATTGGAAAAAATTCTTTTATTGCTATAGTTGCCTGCATTTAGAGAGATGCCTAATAATTGCTATAAGATGGTATTTGAAAAATCTAACTTAAAAAATAAAAATTGAATTTCTTTTTAAACAAATTTGTATATGGTGTTCAGTAAAATAAATACATGGTAAGTGTCTTCACTGAAGAAGTGTTCTACTGAAGGAAATTTTTTTCTTCTTAAAAAATTTATCAAAGGAGAGTAGTAAGAGTTTAGTAAGCAGAATTATTAATTTTCTAGGTCTGCCTTAATAAAATATCAAACTGGGTGACTGAGTAGAAATTTATTCTGTCAAAGTTTGGGAGGCCAGAAGTCTAAAATCAGGGTGTTGGTAGGGTTGGTTCTCTACTGTGGGCTCAGAGGGAGAATCTGTTCCTTGCTTCTGGTGATTACCAGTAATCCTTGGTGTTCCTTGGCTTATGGGAGTGTAACTATATAGAACCAATCAAACAAGAGCCAAGGAAGCATGTTTTAATTTCTTGAGTCTTTAAATTTATTTACAGTTAAATTGAATTTAAATGGAAACTCCTTATTCCCAGTACTGCAGTCCATTCCAATCTTTTCTTATTGTACTATGCTTTTTCTATGACCCTTATCACCACCAGATACACTGGAATTTCCGTATTTCTAAAGTTTATGTTTATTGTTTATGTACCTTTACTAAAGTCTGTGAGGGCTGGATTTTTGTCTGTTTTATTCTCCAGTGGATCTGAAGATTTACAACAGTGACTAGCACCTAATAGGCACCAAGTAAACATAATTTTCAAGTGAAGAAAATAATAAATAATTCCTATTATATTTTCAGTGGCAGTGTATGAAATAGTTTGGTTTTACTCTAATTCTCAGGTTTATGCTGAGTATTAGGAGAGAAAATTACTTCAGAAAGTAATTTGTAATATTGGCTGAGCTTCTCTACTTAGTGAATGTCCTATTGAAATCTCTGGCTTGTGCTTTTAGATGTTGTGTTGCCATTGTGTTCTGGGTTTCTTTTGTTGACTTATTTCTTCTTTCTGTCTCTCAGAAAACAGCCCTTTTTGCTGCACATGTAAGTGGAGCTGTGCTCACCTTTAGTATGGGCTCATTATATATGTTTGTTCAGACCATCCTTTCCTACCAAATGCAGCCTAAAATCCATGGCAAACAAGTCTTCTGGATCAGACTATTGTTGGCTATCTGGTGTGGAGTAAGTGCGTTTAGCAGTATCCTTCACTGTACAATGTGGCTATACTTGGAAGGGAATTGAATGACAAAATTTAAGTGAACATTATTGGTGCATTGTAATGACCTTTTTTTTGGTAGGAGAGATTCTTAGGTTCACAATCCTAAACTAAAGGATTTAAAATATGAAATTCAGATTGTACACAGTACCTTAGTAATTGAGCTAGGAACAAAAAACTGTTTAGCCTTATCATATTCACTTCATAGAAATGAAGGGTGAGTAAAGGCCCTCTCTGAGAACTATTATCTCATTAAAGATTATGACAGAACTGCTAGTTTTCTGAACAAAGAGGTGGGAATTGACTGTGAGAACCATATCGTTGTGACCCTCAGAGCACGTTTTTAGTTTTACAGTCCACTGCTGTGTAACATTCAGTCTTTAAGAAAATGGGTTCAGACCTTAGCAATAAATATGTGAGTAATCCTTTTAGACTTTAAAGTGATTTTCATTCTTCTCTGAGATTCTTCCTTGACTTGTGTTTTTATAGTGTTGATTTGCTCATCAATTTTGCACAGTGGCAGTTTTGGGACTGATTTAGAACAGAAACTCCATTGGAACCCTGAGGACAAAGTAAGAACTTACAGTGTATAAAACTTAGTTTTATATTAAAGATAGTTATTTTGGTTAATCTTGATGTATTTTTTATTTCATCAGTAACAATAAAAGTCTTCTGGTAGAATAATCAGTTATGTATTAGGATTATTTTCTACATATGGTAGGGTTTATGTAGAACCATCCATATTCTCCTTCCACCTGTGATATGTAGATATTATCAAAATATGAAGAGCTTTGTGATGGCAAAAGAGTTTTCTGAGAAACTGACTCAGAAAACTATACCTAAATGTGGGTATAGTATATAATATACCCAACTGAGATTATTTATTTTTTGAATACTTGTTTTCTGAATTGAAAAGACGTATTCTTCTACTTTTTGTTATCTGGAAATTGATTATGGACTCTGCATTTAGGTTTCAATATAATGGATATCTCAATAGCATCTTGGACCCTGAGAATAAAGGAGAAGGGACATATATGAAATAATAAAATGAATTCATCTGTTTTCACAAACCACTTGGTGGTATTTTGTTTTAAATAATATTTTAAGAATTAGTCCCAAATTGGACATGTCTGTGAAAAAGAATGAATGAAATAACTTACTGGATTTTCCCAGTTGTAACCCACATATAATTTAATATCATAAACATAGCACTTACTAAGTTTATTCTGAGAATTGTCAAACTTTTCTTAGTCACATATTATGAATCTTATGGCTTTGGGAACGTCAGTAGTAATTTCTCGATTGTAGAGTAAAAATGATCCTGTTCTGTTTTAGCTATTTAAGTGGAAATTTTATTTGCTCCCAGTGAAACAGTGTCATGTAGGAGGACTTTCTAATGCTGACTCTTTAATTCTAGAGATATGATATGCCTGGTAAGTCAAGGGTTGATTTTCGGAAGACAGATTATTTTATAAGAGTTGTGTGTTTTTTTATTTAAAAAATAGTATATAGATCATTTGAATGAAATTTCACAAAACTATTCTTTTTTTCCCCCTTTCACTCAGGGTTATGTGCTTCACATGATCACTACGGCAGCAGAATGGTCTATGTCATTTTCCTTCTTTGGTTTTTTCCTGACTTATATTCGTGATTTTCAGGTAAGAAAATACAGTGTTAGACTTATGCACTCAGACTTCCTTCAGGTGGACTAAGAGAACTTCCCGTAGACAACTCTCCAGCCTTTTTGAAAATTAACTGTTTATAATTTGGAACTATAAACAAGTGATGTAACTTTTCAGGTAAATTGTTTTTGTGTTTAAAGAAGTAATGTATTGCTAGCAAGATTTAGCCTTGAAAATGGGGCTATAAAATACATTTCAGAAATTCTTACGTAGAATTTTTTTATGGATTCTGAGTACCTTTACATAGTTCATTCTCAGCATTTGGTTTTAGTGATTCTTAGTAGAAACCGAAGAAAAACAAGGAACTTTATGAATAGAGAAGCTTGATTTTTCCAGATTTTAATTGGTACTAAAGAGAATACCTTTGACAGTAAGTCTCACTCTTATTATCATTAGAATTGACTCACATTTGTAATCACAAGGTAGTCTATAGAACATATTGAAGAAGTGATCTCTCTTTAAGGAGTAAACTTCTATATATAATTTTCTTTTCTGTTCCAGAAAATTTCTTTACGGGTGGAAGCCAATTTACATGGATTAACCCTCTATGACACTGCACCTTGCCCCATTAACAATGAGCGAACACGGCTACTTTCCAGAGATATTTGATGAAAGGATAAAATATTTCTGTAATGATTATGATTCTCAGGGATTGGGGAAAGGTTCACAGAAGTTGCTTATTCTGCTCTGAAATTTTCAACCAGTTAATCAAGGCTGACAGTAACATTGATGAATACTGATAATCAGGAAACATGAAAGAAGCCATTTGATAGGTTATTTTAAAGGGCATCATCAAGAAGACTATTAAAAACACTTATGCCTATACTTTTTTATCCCAGAAAATAAAGTCGAAGGACTGTGATATCATAGTTTTTTATACCGTATTTAAGAGAAAAAAACAACCTGACGTGCACCAAGCAGTCTGCACAGCCAGCATTTCAGGTTTTGTAAATCATTGCAGATCATGTTTTGTTAGGAGCACTTTTATAAGAGACATTTTCCATGACTAAATAATCAGCATTGGTCGGGAAATCCTTTAGAACTGGGTTTTGAAATGGGACTTCTATCATATTAAATCATTTTGTATAGTCTTAAAATTTTTTTTGTTGTTCTGAAATCTACCTGTAAAGGAAAGTATGCCTGGATTCATGTGAGCTCTTTCATGGCCTAAGTTTTGCCCAAGAAATTTTATAGGTAATGATTTTTTTTTTTCTGGCTGCAATGCCAGATCCTAAGCTAATTGTTCTGTAATACACATGCTTGCAGTAGTTTCATGAAATTTAGTCTCTAGTGTGAGACTGTAATCACCAGGGAAGGAGGGAGGTACCTATAGGTAAATTTACTTTAGTCACATTTTATAGAAAACAAAGGTTAGTATTCATATAACATTGTGAAGTATGGGAATAACAGCAGATATGATTAATATCAAACCAAAGTCATAACTGTAGTCAAGAGCTTCTTCGATTTTTATTTGTAGCAAGTTATAATTACTTGTAAAATCAGTCTTGAACAGGTAAATACTGAGCCTTTTTAATGGAATTTAACCTTTGTAGAGCTGAAATTCTAAAGAACAAAATTGCCAATCCAATGAAAACAGATGCAAAATAATTGTGATACATGCATCTACAAAAACATTTTTCTCTTTTTTTCTGGTTATGCAAATAATTGGATTGTTTCTCTTTGGATCTCTATATGTACAGGTAAAGAATAGTTTATAGATCCCTGCTGAAATTAAAAAGAAAAAAATGCTCATTTGGAAAGTGCTCAGTGATGAACTGGTTTACAAAATAATCTTTGAAGAGAACCAGGTTTATCTTTTTAGAAGAAATGATTCCCTGGCTAGAAGAAAAGATGGTGAGGAAATATTTAAACTGTCAAGTGGAGCAATTCAAAGAAAAATGCTTATATGGTGGGCCAGGTGCCGTGGCTCACGCCTCTAATCTCAGCACTTTGGGAGACCTAGGCGGGCAGATCACCTGAGGTCAGGAGTTCAAGACCACCCTGGCCAACATGGTGAAACCCCATCTCTACTAAAAGCACAAAAAATTGGCTGGGCATGGTGGCAGGTGCCTGTAATCCCAGCTACTTGGGAGGCTGAGAGAGGTGAATCACTTGAACCCAGGAGGTGGAGGTTGCTATGAGCTCAGATTGCACCATTACACTCCAGCCTGGGCAATAAGAGTGAAACTTCATCTCAAAAAAAAAAAAAAAAAAAAGAAAAGAAACAAAAATGCTTATGTGTTAAAGACCTCAATAATTATAAGTTAGTTGCTAGATACAAGAATCAATAAATAATATTTTTGAAGTCTTCTAGACTAATAAGACAGAAATGGAATAAAATACTATGCCTATATTAAATAGCAGTAAACCTAGGAGACATTTCCATAAGCATTGACTTACTAAATGCTGACATTGCTAGAAATAATTTGGATATAAACCATAAAAAAGTATCATGCCTTTGAAAATCATGGTGTAACACGCCTGCAAAATGTCATTTAGTCCTCATTCCTATGTCAAGGAAACTGTTAGTTATGAAGCATTGTAGTATGGGGAGAAGGAAATTGATAGAATTAAAGTTTATAAAATTATAAAATTTGTATGTGGAAGGTGGCTCAGGGAAAAACATGGACTTTGTTCATTCCTAGAACATGAGCCTTAACAATACATACCAACACATTAAGGAAATTGTTTTAGAAAAAAAAGCTTTGATAATATTGGATTCCATTAGTTAACTTTTACCCTTAGAAATAACATAGGCTAAAAGTGTTCATACAGTTGGCTTACATTATCCATGGCTTAGCTTTCTGCATTTTCAGTTGTTTGCAGTCAACCATGGTCTGAAAATATTAAAATAATTTCAGAAATAAACAATTCATAAATTTTAAATTGCAGGCTCTTCAAAGTAGTGTGATGAAATCTTGTTGCCCTCAGGCCCAGGATGTAAATCGTCTCTTTTTTCTACATATCTATGCTGTAGACACTATCCATTCTTTAGTCTTTTCGTAGCCGTCTGAGTTATCAGATGGACTGTTGCAGTATCTCAGTGCTTGTGTTCAGGTAACGCATATTTTACTTAATGCCCCAAAACACAAGAGTAGTATGCTGGCATATTTATTATAATTGTTCTGTTTTTTAGTTATTGTTGTTCATGTCTTACTATACCTAATATATATATTAAACTTTATTATAGTTATATATATACATATATATATTAAACTTTATCATATGTATGTATGTATCTAAAGGGAAAAACACTATATAGAGGGCTTAGTGCTATCTGTGGTTTCATATATCCACTGGAGGTCTTGGAATATATCCCTGCTGATAAGGGGAGACTACTATAGGTTTGTGGAGGGATTACAAGTAAAGAGAATTTGGAATGTGTGTTCATCCCTAACCATGATGCTGAAGTGATGGAAGGCAGTTCTCATCTCAAAATATACCTTGCCTTCATTGTCAGATACAGTTGCTTGATTGAACAGATAAGGCATTTCTCTTCAATTCCATCAACATTTTTGAGTTGAATGTTTAACTTTTAAAGTAAGATGTCTTAAGCTAACAAAATTGGCAAATACTGTGAACCAATAGTGAAAAATATATTTCCTTTTTGTCCTGGGTATACAACAAGACTACATTTCCTAGTCTCATATGCAATTAGATGTAGGCGCAAAACTGAATATTAGAAGGTAGAGTGGATGTATTTGCTATTTTTATATCAAGATTTTGATAATTCATAATGCTTTCTCCCAGATTTTTCTCTTTGTACCAATTGAATATTGATTACAAGCTTGTAAGAGATGGTGGAATCAGCCAGGCATGGTAGTTCATACCTGTAATCCCAGCCCTTTGGGAGGCCAAGGTGGGCAGATCACCTGAGCTCAGGAGTTCAAGACCAGCTTGACCAACATGGTGAAACCCTGTTCCTACAAAAATACAAAAATTAGTCAGGTGTGGTGGCACTTGCCTGTAATCCCAGCTACTCGGGAGGCTGAGGTGGAAGAATCACTTGAACCCAGGAGGCGGAGGTTGCAGTGAGCTGAGATTGTGCCATTGCATACTCCAGCCTGGGTGACAGAGTGAGACTCCGTATCAAAAAGAAAAAAAAAAAAATGGTGGTGGAATCAAGTTAGAAGGACCCTGAACTAGTCTACTTTTAATAAGATTTTAGAAAATCAAACCCAAAATCTGATATAATTTAGGAACTTCATTTTCATTCATCCAAGTTACTAAGATTATATTGTATTTTGTAGTAAGATGTCATATATTTTAACTGCTCAATGAATTTGTAAAAGAGGAAGATAACTTTTATCTTTCATTGTCCAGTAGAGACTAGCTGCAAAATGAAAGGAAATAGTGGCTTATTAGTACCCTTGTAAGTCTAGTGATGTAAATCTTACTTGGTTTTAAACAACCAGTATGCTGATTTTAGAAAAGGTGTGCTCATTTATTAGGAAGCTAAGAAAAATAACAGACCTCATTCTGAGGCATTATGGTCAAAGAACTATGTCCTCCAAAGGGCATGATAAGATGACTGAGAGTTCATGTGAGGCACAGAAAGCTAAGGACATGAATCGATTATGAGGAAAATGCCCCAGAAATTTTAAAATAAACTACAATGATTAGTGCAAAGAAAAATCTATTCTTTCAAAAACTGGCAGCTCAGCTGAAAAGCAAAATGAAACAAACAAACAAAAAAACCCACTAGAATCTCACCAGTGCTCATATCCCAATTTCTGTTATAAGAAAATCTTGTCTGTGCACTCAGTATTTGAAAGGGCCAGTCACAGTGGCTCATACCTGTAATTCCAGTGCTTTGGGAGGCAAAGGCAGGAGGATTGCTTGAGGCCAGGAGTTAGAGACGAGCCTGGGCAACATAGCACGACTTGCATCTCTACAAAAAAATATTAAAAATTATCTGGACATGATGGTGTATGCACATTGTCCCAGCTAACCTGGGAGGCTGAGGCAGGAGGATCACTTAGCCCAGGGTTATGATCACACCACTGCACTCCAGTCTGGACAACAGAGTGAGACCTAGTTTCATATATATATGTGTGTGTGTGTGTGTGTGTGTGTGTGTGTGTGTGTGTGTGTGTGTATAATAACTATATATATATAATACAATTTTATATATGTAATTGAAAGGAGGGAGGAAGTTAATCTAACTACAGCTGCATCAAAGCCCAGCTGCTCTCAAGTGTACCTCAGATTGATTCAGTGTCATACATACTCTGAACCTAACAAAAGGAGCATGCTATTTTCTGGTGGTAACTATTACTTATTTTCATACTTACTGTCCTTTTGTAAAAGTCTACAGCACACAGTTAAAAAAAAAATGCAAAGGAGAAAAAAAGTTTGATCCAGAGAGGAATCAGTCAATAGAAGCAAATTGTGATGATCCCGATGTTTACCTTATCAGAGGGTAATGATGACGATAAACATGCCTAAAGATCTAGTAAAACAAAGTGGAAAACATACATGAAGAGATAGAGAATCTCAGCAGAAATATGGAAACGAGCAAAACACAGAAATCTAGAAATGAATGTGATACAAGAGTACACATAAAGGAAAAGATCAATAAACAAAGACAAAGCAATTCAACGTATACCAATGGAAAAGCAAAGAGAAAATGGAGTAAAATTGTAGAGTGTCTCAGGTTTGAAGGAAAGTGAAATGGCCTACCATCCTTGTAATTGAGTCTCAGAAAGGGAAGATTGAAAGTATGGTACAGAACAAATATTTGAAGAGATATTTACTAAAACCTTTTTCAAAGTTGATGGAAATTAACACACAAAATAAAGTTGAAAGTGAGTTTTTTTAAATAAGATTGATAAACACCTAGTAAGACATATATACTGGGCTGAATAATATTCCTCCAAAATTTGTGTTTACCTGAAACTTCAGATGTGACCTGATTTCAAAATAGGGTCTTTGCAGATGTAATTAGTTATGATAAAATCATACTATGTAGGGCAGATCCTAAATTCAGTGGCTAGTTTCCTTATAAGAAGGCCTTGCAAAGATAGAAAATCCATGTGAAAATGAAGGCAGACATTGGAGTGATGCAACTTTAAGCCAAAAATTGTCTGCAACCAGAAGTAAGGAAGAAGCAAAGAAGACACCTTTAGAGCCTTCAGAGGGAACCTTGGGTTTCAGACTTCTAGTCTACACAACTGCGAGAATAAATATCTGTTGTTTGAAGCCACCTAGTTTACGATATGTTTATAGCAGCCTAGGAAACTAAAACTGATCAAATTAAAAAGAGGAAGCACAAATTATTAATGTGGAGAATAAAAAGGAAGACATTATAGTTTATTAACATTAAAGATAAGCACCTGTTATAAACCACTTTATGCCAATAAATTCAATAACTTAGATAAAATGGACAAATGCCTTTTGAAACACAACTTGTCAGAAATGATGCAAAATACAAAATATGAAAA